TGCCCATGCTCATAGGCAGCTGGGTGGCCCAGGAGAGCCCCAGCCACATGCTGTGGTGCCCAGCCTACCTGGGCCAGGAGGTCTGGTACAATCCTGTCCCTGAGCCAGGGACAGATTCCAGCCCCACTAACGAGGCTCTGGGATTACGGCTGCCTGCTAACCACCCTGATGACAGCACACCATGGCCAGGGCAGACAATCAGCATTCACCTTGTATCACGGCTCTGCAGCCCACCTGGCACAGTGGATTTGTGCCAAAGAAATGCCAGCATGAACTGTCCACCACTATACAGCAACCAGGCTGGCACCAAAGCTGGCTTTGCCCAGAGAGGGCAGGCAGGCAGGCATGAGCAGGCAGGGGGCCGCACGCCAGGCAGGGATGTGTCTGTGCAGCAGGCAGTGCCTGTGCTCACCCCCCCCCCCGCTCCCTGGCAGACAGCGTGGGAAGAGCAGATGGCACCACCCCAGCAGAGCCCACCGACCCCAATGGCAGCGAGCCTGGAGACATCAGCCTGCATCCCGTGGAGTCCATCAGTGACCTGCACTGGGCCTCAGGAGGGCACAAGGGTGCTGAGGGTGAGACCTGGGCAGTCAGGGCACCAGCCCCCGCTGTGCTCCCCAGCACTGCCGGGGGCACCCCATACCAACAGAGACAGTCCCAGGGGTGCTGCAGTGTGGGTACTAACCTGCTCTTCTCTTCCTACTGCTGCAGGGAATGGCCCAGCTCAGTCCAGCACCTTGCACAGGCCCCACACTCACTCTGCACCCTGCCCTGCCCCACGCCAGCCGCTCCTGCCCATGCTGCGCCCTGTGCCTGCCGCCACTGCCTGCCCCTGCCTCGGCCCCTGCCACCCCCTCTTCCTGGCTCTCTTGTGCATCCTGGCGCTGGCTAGCCTGGTCCTTGCCACACTGGCCATCTACCTGAGCGGTATGTGGCAGCCCTGGGGGCCCACCTACACAGGGTGGGCAACCATGGGACTAAGCTCAGGGATATTGGGGTGCCCACTGGTGACCACATGCCCCAGCACTACAGTGGGAAGTCATGCCAGGCACAACTCCGCTTGGGCACTGGTGGGAAGGGTGCTACGGGACACATAGCAGGGCACAGCTGGGTGCCCCATCTCCAGCACCACCCACAGGTGCCCTGTCCTCTCCCCACAGTGCTGCAGAGCCAGTCAGTGCGGGCGCTGACCAAGTGGCTAGAGAGCCAGGAGGAAGCTGTGCAGCAGCTGCAGGCCACCAGCAGGCAGCTCTGGGCTCACCTCAACGCCAGCGAGGAGGCTGGCGGGCACCGCTGAGCCGCCCCCCTGCGCCACGCCAGGACTGCGAGCCCCATGGAGCCCAGCACGGCCCACATGAGGCAAGGGGCACCAAACTGCAGGGGAAGGGAGCTGGCAGCCCTGCCATGCTGACCCCCACTATTTACTACCCCACTCTGCTCATACCTGGCAGCATCTCCCCAAATAGGGGCACAAGGGGCAGGGTGGGGGTAACTATGGCCCCTGCCACAGGATGCCAAAGCAAGGGAAGGACCTGTAAGGACAGGCAAGAGCCCCAGAGTTGCAAAGGGGATGGCACAGTCCACAGGGATGGACACACAAGGGAGCATCAGCCCTGGTGACAGCCCTTCTTCCTCTTCAAAATAAGGCAGTGGGCACCCTCCGATCAGCCTTTTAATTACCGCCAGTAATCCAAGTCTTATAAAATCACCACCTTAAATACATTCCAGGGTGGTTAGGCACTCCCAGCTGGCATGACCCCACTCCTACCGCTTGGGGAGTCATGCCCTCTGCAGCCCTTGATGCTGGGGCCCTGTGCAAGCCCCTGCCCAAGGCAGGCAGAACAGGTGCCCTAGGGAACAGTGCCCAGCCTGGCCCCAACAGAGGCAGAGGCAGAGCAGGGAGGTGTCCGCTGCGCCACCCCCACCTATAATTTGTTTCCCCCCAAAGAAGGGCTATTCTATACAAAGCATTTGGCTAGAAAAGGGTTCACAGCAGTTAACTGGCAGGGCTGGGGAGCACCCACCAGCCCCCAGGAACCTGGGCCACTCAGCCACCACCTTTGGGTGCCAAGCTGTTACCAGCTGCATGCGCTAAGCCCACTGGGGTAGCACTCCTGCCACAGGCATACCAGTGGGCAGACAGCTGGGCCAGCCACCCAACAGCTCTGCCGAGCAGGGCAGAAAGCTCAACTCTCCCAGCTTGCCTGCGGCAGCCTAGGCACCCCTCCCCACTGCCTTCCCAGAGAAACTCAGCCCTATCCTCCCCCAGGGCCATGGCACTGGGCTCTCCCCAGTCAGCCCTTCTGACCATGATGGGCATCCCCTATTCCCATGCAGGACTAGGGAGGGGGGCACAAATGGGGGAGCCCCCCCATAAACCTTGCTCCCAAAGTGGGCTTCGGTAACCCTGTGACACCCCCTCCCACTGTACTGCATGGAGCGGCAGTCCCCCTTGGCACAGAGCAGGCACGCAGCAGCACCCCACCAACTTCTCCCTCCATTTTTCTTTTACCTTTTCCTTCTTTTTTTGGTTAAAAAAATAAAAGAGGGGGCAACCCCCAGCGGGGCAGCACCAGGCATTAAATACTCTGCTGTACATGTATAAAAGCCCGAAGGCCAGGGGCACCTGCCCCTCACAGTGCTGGGTCTGCAGTCCACATGGGCTGGGGGACACTGCCCCGCTCTGCCCATCACAGCACGTCCGCCCGCTTGTCCCGCACCCGGCTCCGGGCTTTCGTGCGAGCTTTGAAGGCAGCTGAATTGTAGAGGTGCTGGGAGGGGAGGGAAGGAGAGATGGGTTAGGGGGTGCCCATGTGTCCACCACCCCCACAGTGCCCACCCCAGATTGCAGGGCACCATGGCCACAGGCGAGTGCCAGGCCAGAGCCCACCATTTGGGAGGGCACTGCTAGGTGATGGTGGTGCCCACCAAGCTCCTGCCCATCTAGGAAGAGTCAGACCTCCCCAAAACAGGCAGGCCAGCACCAGGAGCATGGGGCAGCACCAGGGGCATGACACCTTCCCACTCATGCACCAGAAGGTGAAAAAACAGAGCTCAGTACTTTCGTTTCCATCCAAGGGGCACCCCTGGCCCTGTAGGCACTGCCCCCTGCACCCTCCCCAGCACCCAGTCTGACGGGCACCCACCTTCTCAAAGCGGGACACCTTGCTGGCTTTCAGAGCAGCCGCATCGAGCACCAGGGGGGGCCCAAGGCCAAAGATCTCCCGTAACAGCTCGTTGTTCTGCAGGAGGAGAGGCCTGTCAGCCCCTGCTGGCATTGTCTCTTCACCCACTCAGTACTGCTGCCTAGCACCTACCTGGAGGTGGTGGCGGATGCCAGAGCCCAGCACCTCTTTGAAGGCTTGGTATGTTCGCCGGCGTGCCCAGCTGTCCACGTACATACACTCCAGGCCAAACCGGATAGTCTCCTCCTGATACTCCCCACTCTGGGTAGAAAGACAAGCATCAAGAGGCATCTGGCCACCAGCCCGATATGCCATGGGCTCTGCAGGGAAAGGCACGGTCTCTGTCCTCTCCCAAGATCCAAGGGCACTGCTAGCCCTCCCCAGCCACTAGTACCTCAATGAAATGCAGGATGTCTCGGAAGATGGAGCGCTGCTTCCGCCGGTCTGTCTTGGCCCGGTACTTGTTGCTCTCGGTGGCCAGGACTTTAAGCTGGGCACGCAGGAACTCGGTGTCCTGGTGGCATAAGTCCTCCTGCCAGGAAAGGGTGGTTTGGAGGGGACAAGGCTCAGGGCACTGCCCACCTCCACCATCCCCAGGGCGAGGTTGTGGGATAACCTAGGCCAACCCCTCCGCTCAAGCTGGGGTGATGGTCCAGCCTGGAGAGCCAGCCAGCTGTGTTGTTTCATGCCACCAGAGTGCCAGCTCAGCCAGCAGCACAGGGAGGGAGACCCCAACAGACATCAGCTCCAGGAGTTCCCTTCCGGCTTGACTGCCCACGCACTGTGTACCCACCTCCTACCCAGCAGTGCCCAACCCTACCTCCACATCCTGGGCTAGCTCAAAGACCAGCGCGATGGTTTCTCCAGCCACGATGCGCAGTGCGATGCTGTTGCTGGACAGCAGCAGGGGCAGCTTGAGCCAGTGACTGTGGCAGGAAGGCACAAGGGGAATTAGCGCCCATGGGCAGCCGGGCCTGGTGCTGCCTGGGGCCTTCTCTCTCCTCCTGTGTCCCCACACCTCAGCCAGCTGGCCCGATACCACACACGCAGCCAGCTGGGACTGCATGACCGAGCAGCCCCAGCACCAGGCCCTAAACACCCTCAGGCTGGCATCCATGACTTCCTGTGCCCAGCAGCACCAGGCTCACTCACTTGTCCAAAATACTCTTGATGTGGGAGGTGGGGCAGATGGTAAGGAGCAGGGACCATGACTGGAGGGCACTGCAGTGCAGAGGACCGTGCTGCGTGGGCACTGAGCTGCCCTCACCCACACCAGGGGTGTTGAAGATGCCCTCTAAGCAGGACAGACATGACACCAGGTCCTGGAAAGAGGAAATCCCCCCATCAAAACAGTAGCCAGAAAAACGCGAAGGCAAATCCACACAATGCATGTCGAAGACGTGACAGGCACACGCACAGCAGGGTCTAGGGCTCATCCTGCCCGGCAGTGTCAAGAGCCATGAGAAACCCCAGACGAATGCAGGACTCCTCAGTCTGGGATGCCACATCTCTGCAGTGCAGGCTTCCTGCCCCGCTGAACTTCACACTGCCCAGGGAGGGGGTACAGGGGCATCTGCAACAGCGCAGCAGGGCCAATGCCACCAGCTCTGCCCTTGGCCACTGAGTTCCACCAAAATGGTGGCCAGGCAACAGCGTGACAGCCTCCGAAGTGACCCCTCACGAGGTATGGACAGCTGCCAGGCCAGGCAACACCCACATAAAGTTACCTCTAGATCAGCAGCAGCAATGTAGCAACACATGCCCAGGGCTGTGGCACACTGTGGAGAGACACAGGAAAAAGGTAATCAGAGAACCAGCCAGCTTCAGTGCTCGTCCGTGGACATCACCACCCTTCTCCCAGGACTGACAAGGGAGCAACTTTGGAGTGCCCTGCCCACAGGTACTGAGACTTTACTCACAGCTCCCTATCCCTGGCAGAAAGGGCTTCTACCTCTGCCCCAATCCAGACACCTCTCTGCAGTCTTAGGAGCCCCAGAGCCAGCTGGGTGCTGCCTGCTGTCAAGATGCCCCCTGCCACCCATGAGGAAGGGAAATCAGCCTTACACTCTGCCGGGCGATAGGACTGGCCATGCTGTCTGTCAGGATGCTGACGAGCAGGGGCTTCAAGCTGCGAAATACCTCTTCGCCCTCGGGGCCAGAGCCCATCTGGAGGCAGAGGAGGGTGAGGACGGTGCCCGCCAGTGCCTGTTCCTCCCCTTTACCTGCAGGCAGCACAAGAGACCTCCCTCAGCAACCAGCCCTGACCTAGTGTCCACTGACCCCCACCATGCTAGGCCACCCATGGCACTGGGAGCAGTCACTTAACCCCGTGCCACCTCTGCTTGGACAGTCCTGGCTTCCGCTACTCCCCTGTCCTCCAGGACCTCCAGCACTCTCAGCCCAAACCACGGTGCCCGCCCGTAACCAGACCTTTCTTGAGACACTTCTCCAGGGAGTCAGTGAGTGTGAGGCGACGCTCCAGCAAGAACTCAAAGAGGGTTTTGGAGGAGAAGGCCAGCCGCAGGTTCTGCAGGGCCACCTGGCGTGTTTTGGCACTAGAAGAGACCATGTGACATCACAAGGTGAGATGCCCCAAGAACAAGCACAGAGATCTGCCTATTGGGGCAAGGAGCACCCACCTCCCTCTCAGCAGCACAGGGGAATCACAGAAAGGCAGCACATGGGAAGGCTGTCAGGCCAGGCTGGCCCATGGGGGTCAAGCAGCAATGAGCTCCTCACCTCTTGTCCAGGATGCTGTCCATGTACTCCTTCAACTTGTCCTCCGCCTCCTCCTCCTGGGCTTGTTCATCCACTGCCTCGCTCCCTGCCAAGGCAGCCAGCCACATGACAGCATGTGTGGATGCCCCTGCGTTCAGGCTCCCACTCCTCCCAAACATCTGGGAGCTAAACCAGATGTTGCCCTACCACCCCCTTCAAGCATGGCAGCAGTACCACATGGCAGTTGCTTCCAGCCACAAGTGGAGGCAGAGGGAGGGCTAGACACACAGCAGAGTAGGGTTTCAGGCAGCAGGGCCAATCGCTGCCCTCAGCAGGGCTGCCTGGGGCTCACCTGTGCCCTCCTCGGCCAGGCTGGCACCTTCGCTGGCACTGCTGTAGTGACTCAGCACCTCACTGACAGCCTCATCATCGCTGGCCTGCGAGTCCGGCTTGGCACTGCTCTGGACACCTGGGCGTGGGAGGCAAACATGGATGATCCCCCAGCCCTAAGGCACCCTGCCATGCCTGTCCCC